ATAAAATTAGAAAAATCTTATAAATGTGGCTTTTAATTAATTCAATTAATAAATAAATCAATTTCGGCGTGCAGGACGAAGCTGAAACAAACCGAAGTAGACTGCGAATACCTGAAGCGTTGCTGCGAGGCCTTAACAGAGGAGAACCGTCGCCTCCAAAAAGAGCTATCTGAGCTTAGAACTCTTAAAGCCACCCATCCCTTCTATAATCAGCTTCCAGCCACCACTCTCTCCATTTGCGCCGCCTGCGAGAGCCCATCCAAATCCACCGAAGGCGCCGAGGCCGGCGGCGCTGCTTCTGCTTCAAGAAAATTAGGTCCCTTTACTGCCCTCTTTGCCAAGGTTCACTTTCATGCCTTAACCAACCCGCCGCCGGCTCCGGCTCACCAGCCATCGGCCGCCTCTTAAGCACCCGCGTCGTACGGCGGAAGCGGTTGTTGTGGCAAACGCTGTGAATATTCATGCTTTGAAGGGCAGATATTTTTCACCCTTTATCGTTTTTAAGTTTTTGTTTGATTTTTTCTTTTTTGCTTCCTTTTGTTTGTTAAATAGCTTGAAGAATAGTTTTATAGTGATTTGAATATTTGGATACTGATTACAGAATTTACTGAATATTTTGGAGGTTAGTAAATTCATTTCCTTTTTATTTTAGTAAAAAAAAAAATTGTTTGTTATTTTGTTCATTTATTTTTATTCTGGATAATGGCTAATTTAAATGTTAGTATTGGCCAGTCCAGAGAATTGACCTCCGGACATGTCTGTTTACCACATAGAATGATCTCTCGCTCAATAGAGCATTGACGATTTAAGATACTTTTTTGGAGCGGCTATATATATATATATATTTGTGGGATAATAATTTTAAATCTCTTTGGTTAAGTTTTTATGATAAAGATTAATTTATAATAATTAAGGCTTCATTTGGTCACTTTTTTTAATGCTTTACTTTTTTAGGTCGCAACCATAATAACTATTTTGAAATTACTATGTTATTGCATTTAAGAAAATTTTGAGTTAGAAAATTATTTTTGGCAACAATGAAAAGCTAATTTCTTTATAACATCATTACAAAAATAATAGAAAATCTATCCCAAACAAAATCTAAATTTATTAAAATGTTATAGTTAGAAATTTATAAATTTTTTTTAATAATTTTTACAATACTCATAGCTGTCTCAAAAAATTAATTTTTTTTGGAAACAAAAATAATTTTTGGCTCAATAAATCTTATAGAAAGTCTTAGCTCACCAAATAGGCCTTCTGTGGTCTATCGATTTAGGTAATATACATGTTTTCTTTTTGAAATAACTAAAAAAATGCTCTTTATCAAGAAAGAGAGAGAGAGAGAGAGAGAGCTATAATATCATTTTGGCAGTTTTTCTAATAAATTTATGAAAGCTGAGTTGTTCCGAACAGATTATGTATTCTTAAAGAAATATTGGTGCTGACTATTTATCGTAGTTTATGTTTGAGGAAGTTTATTCGTGTTCTATCGTGCTTAACTATAATTTGTTGGTAATACAAATCTTTCACGTAGTATGTGTCTATGTCGATATACTTGCCGGTTGCCATTTCAGGTCACCCTCAAACGGTCAAACCAATACAAGTTGAAAAAGCTGGCCTTATGGTTTGCTACATATTGAGATGAAAATCCCGAAGGTGTGATTTCTTTTTGGTTGAAAATTTAAGGAAAGAAAAAAAAAAAATCACCAGGTCTGTTCTAATAATTTAAGTGATTGGGCTAAATTGAGTCATAGGTTAACGTACTAATTTTGGACTAAAATAAAGCGCACACAAACTAATGAGAGGAGGGGAATAAACAGAGGCGGAACCAACTTATGGTTTGCTACATATTGAGATTTTGAGAACTGGTTGGTAATTAATTCATTGTGTTATTCTTATTTTATTTTTTTATGGATTATTGAGAGTTTGGGAACGGTTTTCGTTGTTAAGCTTGCCTCATAAGGAATATACCTTAAATTTTAAAAAAGGCTGATCATTTTAAAAAACATTTATTAAACTCGTCTCCATAAGGAATATACCTGAATTTTTTTGAAAAGTTGAGCTTTGTGTATCATATATATTTATATAAATAGGCTTTTGTTGTTGAATCTTTTTTTTTTTTTTAATAAGATTGAAACTGTATGTCTTGTGAGTATATTTTTCTTTTCCTTACATATATAATCAAGACAAAGGAGGGAATTGAGATGATTGCCCTTTGTATTTCATCAGTTGGTAGGTAATTACATCCAATGCATCGTTAAAATTTCTAATTTTAGACGCTTTGTTTCTTGTTTATTTATAGTATTTTTTTTTATTTATCTATCATAATGAAATACAAAATTTTGCTTTGAATGATGTCTTTATTTATTTTTTAATCCATTTATATGAAAAATTTGCCCCCCTAGAACGTAAGGCTGGTTCTGCCCCTGGGAATAAAGCACACACACTGATGAGAGGAGGGGTGCAAGAGTCATAATAGACATCACATTTTTTACGTGAAAATCATAAAAAGGTACATAATCATGGAGCCTTGCCCATTTAAAATGATTCAATTAGTATTTTTTATTGATTAAAAAGGATGTCCTACCTCGGGAGAAGGCGAAGATATTACAACGTAAAAATATACATCATGTAGAGCATGTTCTATGATTAGAATTGAAAATTCTAATGACTCGGGAGTGGTCTACAAGAGAGCGTTGACATGTTTCATTTGGCCAGTAGGATCGTAGTCAGGCGACGGAAGTAAGAGTGACAGTAGTTTGTGGGTGATGGTGGACGAAGGAATCGTAGTTAGCTGACAACGGTACGTAGTTGAAGGGATCATTTTTAGCGAGAGACGGTGGTCGGAGAAACCATAGTCAGACGATGGAGGTCGAAAGAATCGTAGTTGGATGGCTGAGGTCGAGGGGACCCTTGTTGAGTGACAAAGGTCTGAGGGACCCTAGTTTAACATGTGATAGAGTTCGGAGGGACCACATTCAATGGACTATAGAGGTCAGAGGGACCCTAGCCAGCGAACTATAAATGTCGGAGGGACCATAATAAGCATGCGATAGAGGTTGGAGGGGCTGTAGTCAGACAATGGAGGATGAATGGACCATAGTTGGACGGCGGAGGTTGAAGGAACAATTATCTATCTGGTGACAGAGGTTGAAGGGACCGTAGTAGGTGGGTAATAGAGGTCATGAGAGAGATTATAGCCGGCGGGCGACAGAGGTTAGAAAGACTGTAGAAGGACGATAGTGGTCCGAGGAACATAGGTTGTAGATGATGGTGATCTGAGGGCTGTATTTGATGAGCAATTATGCTCGAAGGGGTTGTAGTTGGGAGATGAAAGTCGAAGGGATCGTAGTCAGCGGGGAACGGAGGTTAGACGAAGACCTGATGGTATTGGCTGAACAGAGATCTGGCGATGATGGTCAGGTAGATGTTCAACAATAGTTTCAAGGTGGCAATTTGTTGATCATAGTGCCTTATTGGAGCTCTTGGATTCTTCAAGGTTTCGAGCTCACTTGATCTTTAGCCCAACGTCCGAGTGTGAAACCCCTTAAGCAAAAAGAAGCTAAACTCTTAAACATGGAGACGCCTTTTGATTTAATAGTTAGAATTTTATTAAAAACTCTGTAATTAAGTGTGCTCATCCCAAAGAATTTTTGGGATGAGCTACCTCCTGGAAAGTTATACTAACATAAAAAAATTATGAGACTCTTAGGCCAAAGTGGACAATACCTCGATAGTTAATAATTTGGGTTGTTATAAATGGTATCAGATCAATACACCACCTAGAAGATGAGAACTAAGTGCCATATAAGATAAAGTGCTACGTCATGGGAGCCACCTTTTAAACATTGTATTAGTTTATACATAATTACCCTCTATGCAATTGTTCAAGTCATTGATATCATATAATAGATATGAATTAGGGGGATATATGACTTTCATGGTAGAAATATGAGGAGCGTTTTGATGTTAAAGTTTTCATCAATAAATCATTAGTGATATGCTTGATCAATACCTTTATATTCGAGGAGATCAACAACTGTGAAATTTGGTACGAAAATTGGTATACGCCTTTTTTGCTGATGATGATAGTGAAAGCGAATGATTGCGTTGATGTCAACAATATTATTGATAATAATGGTCATCAGTATTTATATTGACCAATATTTTTTAAATTTCTATTTATCTCTTCAAAAATATTATCTTTCTCAACAACATTTGTCATCATTAAAAACTAGCACGGCTCGTAAACTGTATCATCTTCATGATCATCATATTGAAGAACTTTTAATCCATGGATACTTAAAATCCCAACTTTGGAGTGATTTTCATGTAAGGCTAAGCTGAGTGGTGTCAAACTTAAGTCTTTAAGGTTTGCTAAAAGAAACCATGAGCTAGCTTATTAAGTCAACTCTAATTATGAGCATGCTAAACTTGTTAACCCCAGCTTACTTCTCCTCATTCAAAGAGGCATTTTTTATTTGTGCTACCAAATTTAATTTTTTAGCTAAATGATTCATCTTCCAATGTGTGACGCATAATCTTCTAATGTAATACCTTATTTTTTGTTACTTATGAATAGTAATTAATGACATAGCTTATTTTGATATATTGTTAAGAGTTTTGGCTATCAACTAAGAGGTCTTGAATTTCTGATCTATGTGATGAACGTGTGAGTTTGTCTTAATTGACTCAAAAGTATATTAGCTTTTTTCTCATTTAAATCACCTCACAATCTTTTTCTTAATCTATTTTCCTTCATGTTCATGTTTATAATTATTAATAAAAATGAATTAAAAAAGTTAGATTACTAAGTTAAATGTGTCAAAAATAATAAATGAAGAGCTTTTTAGTAAATCGTTTGTTTTCTCCTATTATTGTTTTGTTCTTTTTAATCATATAATATATGAAGAGTCCCACCCTACGAATGAACTGCTCTTCCTTCGTTGACAAGTCTCCATCTGTTGGTGAAGAGACGTAAACTTCTCCTATCCGACATCATTAGGCCGGCATGCAATGCTTTCTATCGTTTTTACATATTAAAAATCATGAAATGGATGCTTAATGCATTAGAAAATTACAAATTTCTTTAGAAGTTGGAAAGGATGCTACGTCTCCTTTCACGCAATAAGCAAGACGCTTAGGTTTATTTGAGACGGTTTTCTTATTATTTAAAAAAAAAAATTAATATAAAAATTAAAAATTTTGTATTATAAAATTGCCTTAAGAAATGGTAAGAAAGCAGTCTCAAACGAAGCCTTAGACTTCATTTCACAAAGCTGTTCACACACATAATGAGCTCTAATATGTGGGAGAAAATTTAGGCCAATTAAAACAAATTCACACACATACAAGTATATAACATATATACGTAAAGCTCAAACCCAATATCTTTTAGTTGATAACCAAAGTCCCCAACAAATATACCAAGATTTCATGCTAAATATGTTAATAATTAGCATCCATATCATCAACAAAAGTATCGAAAGAAATTCAATCCATACTATGGGGCTGTTTGGTAGCAGGATGTACGTCATATTTGAGCGGGATTTGAGCCCGCTAAACGGCCTAAAATGCAAAACCAAAGCTCACGACAAATGAAAGCTGCCGTAGACGGAAAGTTCCATCTTTTGGTGCTAAATCCCGAA